GGGGGGGGGGGGGGGGGGGTTTGAGAGGTGTGTGTGTGTGTGTGTGTGTGTGTGTGATGTCCGCCTCCATGCTTCCTAAAATCTTGCGAGCCGATGCCTCGGCGATTAAACGCTGCCGCAGACTTCCGCGCGTAAGCCCGACCCGTCGTTATTAATTTTCATTTACAAGGGTTCCTTTCGCCGCCAGCCCGCGGCGAGATACACGCCCAACGCAAATCGTACGTTACGCCTGTGCGTAAGCGGGGACGCCACCACTTCCGGCTTCGCTTGGTTTTTGTCGATCGGTGAAAAGTGGTACGGCAGAGGCGGCGGCGGCGGCGGCGGCGGCGATGGCGGCATTTCGCGGCACACCGATTCTCCTTGTATTAAGCTACGCGCGTGACTTCTGTCGGGATCCCTTCGAATGCCCTCGAGTTGCACTGCCGAGATCTATTGGGAGATGATGGCGAGGGATGGGTAGGAAAGAGAGGGATAGAGGGGGGAGGGGGATGGAAGCCGCGATTTCGCATATTTGATTTTACGGCGGTTTTATAGGCGAGGTCGGGGCGCGCTTGTATCACGGTAAAATTGCTCCGCTTTATACAAAAGTTCATAAAGCTCTTGATTTAATGAAAAAGAAAAAATAAAAGAAAATGAAACAAAAACAAAAGAAGAGGAAAGAAAGAAAAAAAAAGAAGAGGAAAGAAAGAAAAAAATAGGAGAGGAATATATAAACTCCTGCTGTTGAGATTGTAGCCGCGGGATTCGATGTATTGGAAGGGGTTCTGTCGTTAACCACAGTCTCTCCCACGCATTACCTCATCGAATATTCTTCGATTACCACCGGCTCACTTGCACCCATGCAATATTATTCAATTGCCAGTGATGCCGATATAGCGATATACGAGGAGTTCAGGTGACTATGATTAAGTGTTAGCACTTTTTAGCGATTCGATGCAAATACATTTAGGGGGCCGTCGTTTGTTTGGTTATGCGCGCTACTTTGACTACAGATGGAACTTTTTTTATGATGAAATAATAATATAAATATAATAATAAATGAAACGTAAAATAATAATAATCATAATCATAATAGATAAATAAATAAAATAAATAAAAAAAGAGAAGAAAGAAAAAAAAAGGAAAATTAAGCGAATCGTAACACGGCGGCTGTAGTGGATTAAATTTAAAATCCATAATATTTACAATTGTAAGCTGGGAATGTATTTGAGCGAATGAAGCGAAATTAATTTTATATTGATACGCAAATTTACATTTGCAATGCAAAAAAAAAAAAAAAAAAAAAAGAAAAAAATTAAACTCATTCAACATTAATAATAAATGTTAATATTATTTCTTCGCTTTATTATTAAAAAAAAAAAAATGTCATTTCTTAATTCAATGCTCGTTTACGTCATAAGACCTTGATATTACGGCAGCATTGAATATCGAGATTTTAATTAGACTTGATGGGCTAAATTTTTTAAAGCCCTGAGCGAAGCGCGAAGTAATTAATAATGCTCGAGCGTTCGTTGTAACGGCCAATGTCAATCTCATTGCCCCGAAAGCGCAATTTTACAGCTCGTCGGGGCAGCAAAACACGATTGATATCGTCACGTGACAACGCCAGCAATTGGAAAGGCGATAGACATTTTAACGCGAGCTTACCTAAAGATTGTCCATCATCTCGGAAAGGGTTAGCCTGGAGGTGGACATTGCAACGCCGCTGTCGCTGCTGCTTTGCACACTGCTATGGTCATCGGTGTCCGATTGATTGCTCGTGTATCCAATCACGTCGACTTCATCTGCAACAGATTTAAGAGCATACCATCATTAGTATAATTATTCATCTCGACACTTCTCCCCAATAATCCCAACTCTCCCGGTTTTCTTAAAAAAAAAAAAAAAAAAAAAGCCCCACCCACCGAGGTTTCCGTATGCGTCAAGAGGCTCGGCCGACTTTGCCATTTCGTGCGAGGCACGAGGCCATTTTGCACCCGCGGATTTGGCAAGCGCCATTTATGACATCTAATATTACATCCTGTGAATTATATACATGGTAGAGGCAGAAGGAGATTAAAGGCGCTCGCTCGCTCGCCCGTCACGTGGCACTCACTCGAAGCGATAGATTGTAAAGGCGCGCCAAAGCCATGCGATATCATTGTAATCCAACGAGTTAGCGACTGACCGCAGCTTGCGACAGTCCAAAACAATATTGCCCCTGGCGTCCGGGAATTTTATGCGAAATCGATAGTTCGAGCCACTCCCAGATGAACTCGGGTGGTGGGTAGGGGTAGGGAGGGAGGGTAGGGAGGAGGGGCACACGTGCGCCGACACTCGCCTCCAGGACTTTGCTGATGATTATTAAAGAGGAGCGTACGTCCCTACGGCCTCACCCCGATCGCTTCTTCATGCCGATCTTCGGGCCGGGCATCTTCAGGCGTTCACCGACGAGACGAGACGAGACGAGACGAGACGAGACGAGACGAGAGATGAGAAAGGTCATATAAAGAGCGTTGCTTTGCGGATAAGCGGCGACGGGGAGACGCTCGAAGATTGTGCACCGCTCGTTCTAAACGGAATCCTTATTGCCTCAGCAGTTGACGAAAAGGGATAAGAGATTCTCCTCTAAGGATCGTCGATGTCACGCTGCCTTTTTCGCACTCGTGCACAAGGGCCACGGTGGATCGGGGGAGCCGTTACAATTTCAATCATTGCCGTTTACAATATTGGAGCTCTATTTAGGAAAGTTACGCGTTGTCCCCATATAAAAATGTGTCTGTGGTAGAGTTGGATGATCGCACAGTGCGATGCGAAAAGTGAGATGCGCGAGCACCTTGCCTGTATCCTGATCGCGGCAAGGATGCACGTCGCAAATGGTAGCCGGGAGAGAACGCGCGAGATAAAATTCCGGAAATTCGTTACAGCGGAAAGTCACTTTGCCGAGAATGTATTTTGCCCATTTTCTTCAGCAGGTGCGTGTTGTAACGGGCGATCGAGAGATTTTTCGACTTTGACGCGCAATTTTTCGCGCTTCGGTACGTGCGGTTCGCGCCTCGCACGGGCGTTAACTTTAACGGGGCTTATTTCGCGCTTGCCTGGCTCTCCACTGCATTATGGGATTTTCGAAAATTCTTATAACGTATTATAGAGAAATGTTTGCGCACGCATTTATAAAGTATTGCGAATTTTCGTTTAAAATAAATGCCCCGAACGCTCGCGGCGCTACGAATTTCGAAAATTCGCTCGATCTTCTATGCTCCAGACTCGCTATTGTATCGCGCGTATCAAACATTATTTGTTCGTGCTTTTTATATAAACAAAAAACAAAACAACTATTTGCTTTCTTTATCATTAGAATTAAAATTGTCATTGAGGTGAGGGGTCGTTGTTATTTTAAAAGCCGCGTTTAAACAAATGATTAATAGTAGCGCATAGCTTTGACGATCTCTCATGCAAAAATATATAGATGCAAAAATTCCTTCATTTATACGTATTGGTAATTCGCGCTATTCCGAATGCATAAAACAGAATATTTCGAGTTAAAGTTTTCATAGCGATTATTGGCTTACTTATAAAAATAGCATGATTTTTACCGAATTTAATAACAACTTTGAACTAAATCTATCTTGACGCAATTATTTTATCATCCTTTTCACTAGTATCACGCCCCTATTAACATCATCGCCATAATTAATCGTCATTATTTGTAAAGGTCACGTTTATCAAGACGTAAGTAAAATCAATGATGAAGAATTTTAATGCCTAATCGTTATATACCGACAGTCGAAATTATATTATTAAGCTCCTCTATAAATGTACTCCCCATTTTCCCTTTACTCACGTACGATTTTACATTCGTTGGCAGTTTTACACCGAACGAAATACATTCAAATTGTAAACAACGATGTACGAACGTTAAAAATAACAGCTCCAAATATCCCAGGCGCGGGGGCAAAATACATTAGAAAAATAGGGCATTCGAAAAATGCATTGCAGTCGCGTAATTTCGCGCATAAAAGCGCCCGCATACCGCATGCAAAAATTCGTTGAACTAGCGGCCAACGTCAGGCCTGCATGCTGGAGCAGGGCAAAGTAAATATTCGGATCGATGCGCAAAAGCCCGCTGACACTTGCATGCTTTTCCATTTTCGCTATAAAACCCTTGTTTTCCGCTGTTACGGGAATAAAGGAAGCAACGGTCATATATCTATAAGCATACCTTGCGATCCCAGCCTTCTTTGTATCGAAATTTACATGCCCCCCACCCCCGGTTTTTTTTTTTTTTTTTTTTTTTTTTTTTTACTCTTTTTCTTTTTTTTATCCCATTCTTTTTATCAAACCTCCTAGGTTGCTGCAGAAGCTACGCGTTTTATGTTACGCGCAAATGTCTTTTCATGGCATCTCGTTTATTCGCGCATCTTGTTGAGGTACGCCTTTTTCACGATGGGTGTTTATGTTGTTATTTGCTTTCGGTCGTAAACAATGTTGTGTTGCTCACCACCCTATTCCGCTAATTTTTACACACACACACATGTGTGTGTGTGTGTGTGTGTGTGTGCGCGCGTGCGTGTGTGCGTGTTTTTTGTATTTTATTTTAGACCGACCGGTTCCCATTGTTCTTTGAATTTGTTGAATTTGGAAGCGTGTGGCCGCTTCCGATCACGCTGTATTTTATGTAAATATTGTGTTAATATATTTATGTATTGTATATTTATAAAAAGAAAAAAACATTCTGGAAATAACTACCGACCAGAAGTAGCATCGCCCTAAGCTAAGCTTAAATCGGTGAATTTTTATTGTCTTTCTGTTTCGATTATTTTTTGCAGTTTGTAAAATTTTCTAAAAATTATTTGACGATATGAAAATGTCTAAAAGCATAGAATAACCATGATTGGATGTCGTCTAAAAGGAAATATAAAGCTTAAGATTCATCGTATCTTCGCTGGAACTTTTTATTCCCATTAATAGGCACAAAAAGAAGAAGAAGACAGGGATTCGCATAATCTCTGCAGTCATTATGTATCTAATCCAGTAAGCTGGATACGGTAATCCAGCCGAAGTACATAGACAATGACATTATAAAAATAATTACGGCTCTAATTGCATTGGTAAATCTGCATGCGCAATGAGCGAGATCGCCATCGGTTAACGAGTGATAGGCATAATGTGTCGTCCATTAATGGGGTTCGCACATCTATTTTGCCGGCCAAAAATACGAAACTACTATCAATTAAAAATATTCTGTCCTAAAGACGACAAGTACACGCGCGTAACTAGACACTCGTGTATGAGAAAAAATAGAAAATTTAAGAGCATCGAGCGTAAAAATCGTTAATTCATGAGTTATGTAGTATGCGATAGATAGATAGTAGCGTTTGAAAAATTCTTTTCTTTCAATAAATTTCGATGATTGTTTGGCAATGTTTATAAATGTTGAGTAGAATAAACAATAAACAATAATTTGTAAATTAATGTTCTGCTTTTACGTTATATGAGGAGCAATTTTGATAAAAATTATACAACAGAGGTATAAGAATAATTGGAGATTTCGTGTAAAGCGTTTGAAGCACATTTGATTAAATTTTATAAATTTTACACATAAACTATGATAAAGTCAGCTGTTATCATCTTCGACAACTATAAATCAAGATTTATAGAGGCAGTGTAAAGCCAATATAATTCAATTTGATAATTGTTAATCTATGCAAGTAGACATTTGATTTAATTTTCCTAATTATTCACGTAATAAATTTAAATTAAATTGAATTTTTTATTGTGTTATTGTCGTTGTTGTTTGTCGTTGTCGTTGTCGTTGATCGTTGATCGTTGATCGTTGATCGTTGATCGTTGATCGTTGATCGTTGATCGTTGATCGCGTTGATATCGTTGATCGTTGATTGTTTCAAACAATTTTTCATTTAATTTGAATAATACGTGAGCCTGAGTGTATGCTTAAATAAATTATTTGATTGGTCAGTCTGATTCCAATGTCCGATTCTTTATTATATTAATATAGAGTATAAATTACAATTTTAAATTTGATTTTAAATTAATGATGTAAGCATGAAAATTTATTTCAACTTTAATGAAGAGATAAAACAGAAGTATCATGGTGGTGAGATAATTTTTTTTTTCTCCGTATATTCATTTAGCTCGTGTAAAACCTTAATGGTTATACTTAAACTACATGATGGAGCATATTTAGTTGGTAATTTAATCGTAAATAAGAGAGATAAAGAAAAGAGTAAACTTTCGACGCGGTAAGAAGTAAAATGATATGAAAGTCACGACAAATTAAAACTAAAAGGGAATAGAAAAAACATCGAACGAAAAAAGTGGAACATTGTACGTAGGCAGAAAAAGAAAGCCAATATGTGTGGGAGGTGGAAGGGGAGGTGGAGGGGGGGGGTGAAACGATACGGATTGCGCCGTGCAACGAATATGCAATTGCACGAGTCTTATTTGTTTTCAAATTTACGAGCGAAACGGGATTCAATAGCATGTCGGACAATCTCCCGGCTGCACAATCAACGACTTCTGCGGTCTATAATACTCTTTTGTAAGACTGTTTTTTTTTTTCTTTCAAGGGATTTTATCCCTTTATCTCATTTCTTTATTTTTCTCGCTTTCTTTCTTCTTGGTTTTGTTGTTTGTTTTTCTTTAATTTAAACGAAGAAATTATTTGACGCTAAAAGGCGCGCTAGCTAGGATCTGTATGTAGGTCCATAAAACATATTAAGCCGACTATTAACTCAATACAGTGGACGCAAAATAATTACAAAAGCAAATGAGCAATAAAACT